TGCGTGTGCGTGCCTCTCTGTGTGCCTCTCTGTGTGTGTGTGTGTGTGTGCGTGTGCGTGCCTCTCTGTGCCTCTCTCTGTGTGTGTGTGTCTGTCTGTCTGTCTGTCTGTCTGTCTGTCTGTCTGTGTGCGTGTGCGTGTGCGTGTCAGGCACTCGTCTGATAAGGTGTCGAAGCTGGAGGCGCAGGTGGAGGTGTATAAGAAGAAGCTGGAGGATCTGGGGGATCTGAGGCGGCAGGTGAAGCTGCTGGAGGAGAAGAACACCAGCTACATGCAGAACACCGTGACGCTTGAGGAAGATCTGCGCAAGGCCAACGCCGCTCGAGGACAGCTGGAGACCTACAAGAGACAGGTGATCCAAAATCTACATTGGTGACCTGTTTTTCATGACTAAGACCAGACAGAGACATCAGTAGTCACCAACTGTGACTATATCAACATCGTTGACTAAAAAAAAAGATTAAAATGTAGTTCAAATAATAAAAACTCTCTATATCTAGAAACAAAAAGAGAAGAAAAAAATCTAGACCTCCACAAGTTTTCATGCTTGCGGTTGCAAATCCCCCAATCAGAGCTTCTCTCTTAAAAGGACACATTTTATGGCCTGTGTTTAATTTATCTTGCCAACCTGGCAACCATTCACATTCACTCTCTATTACACTGTAGAAAGAAAACATTGACAGACATGTCAGCTTGAGTTTAGTGATCTTATATTCTGTCGTACAGTCAGTCTGTGTTTCTTCACACGGCCGTTTGCTGCTAAATATGCCATCAAACCTTCTCGTGACGAACTGAGATAAATCCAGACATGATCTCGAGTGTACTGTTTGTGATTGAGGCTGAATAAATGCACTTACACTCCTCTGTGCCATAATACAAAGCCTTCTGTTGTTGTTATAATAGAAAGACGTGAATATAATTTAGAATTATTGGAATCAATATTAGGAATGTCTAATTCTTCCACCAAACAATGTAGCTCCTCAGAAACAGTTGTGGTTGCTACAAAGTGGTTGCCGAGCAACAGACAAACGTAAACAAAGGTGTATGTTACTTTGTAGAGTCATTTACAACAGCTTTGAACTCGGCTCAGCCAATCAGAATCAAGCACCGGAACTATCCGCTTTATAATTTTGAATTAATTGTGATTTTCAGTTTAACCATTAAGCAGCTTGACTAAAATGTGACTAAAAGTTTTAATAGACTAAAACTAGACTAAAATTCACAACTGAAACATGACTAAATATGAAACTAAAAAGGACATTTAGCACAGGACTAAGACTAAATTAAAACAGCTGACAGAATAAACACCAGCACTGAGCTGCATCAGATCTCCGGACGAGGTTTGTCTCATTAGAGACACTTGAGCACACAGATATTAATCTCATAACACCGCTAACCCTCACGCAGTGATTGGTCGGTCCTGAGGTGTCTTGTGTTTTCAGGTGGTGGAGCTTCAGAACAAGCTCTCGGAGGAGTCCAAGAAAGCAGACAAGATGGAGTTTGAGTATAAACGAGTCAAGGAGAAAGTGGACTCTCTTCAGAAGGAGAAAGATGTAAGAAAGCAGACGCTCGCTCGCGATGTTGAGATCTGTGATAAAGCAGCAGCTGCACTTTATTCATCACTCTTTCTCCTGTTATTATAGTCTCCTGCTCTCCTGCGGTGTTCTTCCTCCTCGTTTACAGGCTTTCTCTCAATGGGCCTCGTTCATGAAACACGAGCAGAACGGATTTTTGTGTAAATCGTTCGTAAAGCTTATCTGACCTACATTTTCGGATTCTTGAAAGTGTTCGTATTTTCAAAATGTTAGTTGGTACGAAAGAAATGTACAAACGCTGTGCCACCGAAGTGTTCTCAAGCGCCACCAGCTGGCCGTTTTCAGAAGAGCGCCTGACGGTTTTCAGCTGGCTAAAAATGCTTTTATAGTCTTTTTTGCATTTATGCACTATACTGGAGCCAAACCTGAGAAAGTAGACCAGAATATTCCACTGCGTTCCTAGACACGCAGTTAAAGGGGTCATATGATGCTTTTTTAAAGATCATTATTTTGTGTATTTGGTGTAACAGAATATGTTGACATGCTTTAATGTTCAAAAAACACATTATTTTTCAAATATCACGAACAGCTTGTAACACTCCAAAGAGAAAGGAAAACTTGAAATCGCATCATATGACCCCTTTAATAGCTGTAATTCATAGGCGGGGATTATGCTGATTGTGAATGAGCGTGCATAAGCGCCCTATTTATGAATGATTTGAATTAATTAACATACGCATGTTTAACTATCAAATTGGAAGTTAAAGAAGCGTTTGTGAATCCGGAGGAGAGTTTTCGGGAAGGTCCGTTTTATGCGCCAATTACTCAGAATTTACTCCTTTATTTACGAATGTTTCATGAATGAGGCCCAATGTGAAGTCAATAAAAAATGCTTCAAAGCAGCTTCACAGAGATAAACAGCAAAATAACAGTGTTAATGCTATAAAGTTCAGTTATGAGGTCAGAGAAGGTTGATGCTGAATATTAATTGTCTTTTGAATGAAGCATGTGAATGTTAAAGACAAGCTGCCAAATTAGATGTTGACTCGACAAATTAAGTCTGAATCTTTTACACATAATTAACACTTTAGCCTAATTTGCTAAAAACACACACACACATCACACACACAGCACACACACACGCGCACACACACGGGTTTGTTTTTGTGAAAAGTGGGGACATCCCATAGGCGTAATGGTTTTTCTACTGTAACCTACCCCTCACAGGAAACTTTGTGCTATTTCAGATTTTCAATACACTCCATTCTGTGTGATTTATAAGCGTTTTGAAAAGTGGGGACATGGGGTAATGTCCTGAAAAGTCACCTTCTCCTTGTAATACCTATGTTATACCTTTGTCATTATACAAATTTATGTCCTCATTTGTCACAAAAACGCGCTCACACACACACACATCACACACACACACACACACACACACACACATCACACACACACACACAGACACAGACATAGACACACACACACACACACACACACAGACACACACACAACAGTTCTGTTTATCAGTAAATGACTGGACAAAAGAGCTTCTAAATAAATCAGATGTAGGTTTTGATTAGTCAAGTTTTGAATGTACTTCATTAGCAGAGTGTATAATTGACTCGTGTAGCCAAAGCATTTACATCTGAGCTGCATGCAGAGAAAACCGTACAAAGCACACATGTGATGTGAAATAACATGTAAGGATGACATGAACGTGTGTGTGTGTGTGTGTGTAGCGCTTGAGGACGGAGAGAGACTCGCTGAAGGAGACGATTGAGGAGCTGAGGTGTGTTAAAGCTCAGGAGTCTCAGCTGACGTCAGGTGACTGCTTTAAACTCCATACAGTGCCTAATTTTTATACAGGATATTTTGTTTTTAACTCATCATAATTGTTTATGTATATAATGGGTTGATATGTGCTGATCATCAGGTTTGGTGCCGCTCGGCAGTAACGAGCCGTCTGATTCGCTGGCCGCAGAGATCGTCACACCAGAGATTCGGTAGGACAAATACAGTGACACACACACACACACACACACTCACGCATACACACTCTCACACACACACTCACGCATACACACTCACTCACGCATACACACTCACACACTCTCACACACACACTCACGCACTCTCACACACACACTCACGCATACACACTCTCACACTCTCACACACTCACTCACTCACTCACTCACTCTCTCACACACTCGCTCACTCACTCACTCACTCACTCACTCACTCTCTCACACACTCGCTCACTCACTCACTCACTCACTCACTCACTCTCTCACACACTCGCTCACTCACTCACTCACTCACTCACTCACTCTCTCACACACTCGCTCACTCACTCACTCACTCACTCACTCACTCTCTCACACACTCGCTCACTCACTCACTCACTCACTCACTCACTCTCTCACACACTCGCTCACTCACTCACTCACTCACTCACTCACTCTCTCACACACTCGCTCACTCACTCACTCACTCACTCACTCACTCTCTCACACACTCGCTCACTCACTCACTCACTCACTCACTCACTCTCTCACACACTCGCTCACTCACTCACTCACTCACTCACTCACTCTCTCACACACTCGCTCACTCACTCACTCACTCACTCACTCACTCTCTCACACACTCGCTCACTCACTCACTCACTCACTCACTCACTCTCTCACACACTCGCTCACTCACTCACTCACTCACTCACTCACTCTCTCACACACTCGCTCACTCACTCACTCACTCACTCACTCACTCTCTCACACACACACACACACACTCACACATACACACTCACACTCTCTCACACACACAGACACACACACACACACAGACACACACACACACACACACACACACTC